TTTGTTTTCACGCCTAGCGGCGTCACCCGGTGTGAAGTGATTAATGTTTACATCGCTGAAGAATCCCTCCCTGTCCAACCATATCATCCTCCTCCTCGTCAGTGCCAAAATTGTTGGTGTTTAGGACATCCAGACAAACATTGCTGTTCCACAGCCAGATGCCCTCTATGTGCCCAACCTGGCCATACCCAATCAAACTGCTCAGCACAATCACACACGTGTCACCTGTAGCAGCCCCCATAATGGACTGCCCCACCTACAAATTTTAAGTCTGAGGTAGCAACTGTCAGATTCAGACTTGGACTCACTCTACATGAAGCCAGACAGGAAGCACGTCAACGAGGTTTTTCTCTTACTCCCTACTCCAATAATGTTGCTCACTCTGCAACTCCATCTACCTCCCAAACTCCTACACCCTCCCCTAAACCTATCCCTCCTCCATCCAACTTCCCCTCTCTTACCTCCTACCTTCCCCAGTCAGATTCTTTTGCCATCCTAAATCCAGACACTCCAATCTCTACTTCTAGCCCCAACACCTTCCCCTCTCCCTCCCTGCACTACCCGCAGCAGACAGATTAAATGTTCCACCCCCTCTTCCCCTACCACACAATCACCTCCACCTTCCTTTGCCCCAGTCTCCTCCTCCCACCTCACAAGAAAACCTTTGTCTCACAAAACTCCCCAACTAACTCCATTACAGAAACTCTTGAAGATATTCAAAACTATATACTATCTAGTCCCAAACTGACACTGAAACCCCTCATCCACCTTCAAATTCCACAACTCCAGCTTGCTCCATACTCAAAGTGACTGCTGATATCCATCCTCCTCCTACTCATATCCCCCCCTACACCCTATCCTCCTACCCCCTCCCAACCAAGCCCATCCTCCCCGACTCCATCTCCACCTACATTAACCCTCCCACCATCCCCTCTATTCCTTCCACTCTCTTCTGGATACACATGTGAATCCCTTATATCACAACTATCCCCTTCCCCAGACCCTCCACCTCCTAATACCCCTCCTGATTCAACACCACCTCCCCCCTCTCATTCCTTATCCCACCCTCTAGCTCCTCCTCCTTCAAATTCTCCAACACGTACTGTAATCGTTATCACTCATAATTCAACAAAAGTATAACTATCCTTCATTGGAATATTTGTGGTTTCCGTTCTCACAGACCCAACCATCGTAATATCCTACTTCTCCCCTTTCCACCCCATTGCCTTTGTTGTTTATGAAAATCTAATTTCTCAACTCCAACCACCTTTCCTCATAGTTCGTGATTTTAACTGCTGCCACACTCTTTGGAGTGATTCTATCACCAACTTCCGAGGCCGATCCCTATATCAGTTCCTCTCCACAGCCGACCTTATTCTTAATTCAGATCACTCCACACACTTTGATACACGCACGCAATACTTTTCATGCATTGACCTCTCTCTATGCTCTCCTTCTCTTCATTTAGGTTTCTGCTGGTCAGTTCTAGACCACTTTCCAGTTTTCTTTTCTCCTACTTCATATGTACCACTTCCTAAATCCCCACGCTGGTGCTTTGATAGAGCCGACTGGCATAGTTTCACTTCGCTCTCTGCTATTCATATCCCTCCATCCTCCCTCTCATCCATTTCAGAAATGATACAATGTTTTACAACTACAGTCCTAAGAGCTGCCCTTACAGCTATTCCTCAACCCTCAAGCCCCTATACCTCCAAATGTGTTCCATGGTGGAATTCTGATTGCACTGAAGCACTTCGCTTAACCCAATGGCGCCAGGTGTACAAAACAAAAAAAAAAAACTCTACGCTTAAGCAAACAAAGGCGGCGGACATCAGCCTGAATCACTGGCTCGCCGCGCTTTGGCGCGCCGCTGGCTCGTTTGGCTGCACGCCAGCTTTCAAGCGTTTTGTTTGCACGCCGATCGGCGTCACCCAGCACTAATGGGTTAAAACGTGCAGCCTGGAACAGTTACCACTACATAAGAGGTACCCCAAATCAACTATCAGCCCTTATCTCCTTTAAAAGAGCATCTGCCTGTCTTTGTCGTACAATCTGGAATAGTAAAACAAATAGCTGGCGAAATTATGTTTCATCAATTACATCCTCTACATCTATCTCAAATGTTTGGCGCCGAATCCATAACCTATCAGGCAAACATCCCCCCCATCCAGCCCCCGTCCTCCATATTCGAGATACCCTCATCTCTGAACCTCTCCAATTCGCTAATGAACTGGGTGATTATTTCAGCCAGGTCAGTAGTGGTTTTCACCTTTCTCCACACTTCTCTTCTATTAAGACCATCAGGGAATGTACCCCCATTATCTTTACCCTGTCCTCTGCTGAGTCCTATAATGCTCCTTTTTCTTCCTCTGAACACAATGCTGCCCTACAATCGTGCATCAACATTCATGAAGGCCCTGACGGTATTCAATACCTTATGATCCGGCAACTACCATCTTCCTCCTTATTCTTCCTATTAACAATTTACAACCACATATGGACATCAGGGAACTTTCCTTCAAATTGGCGAGAAGCTCTCATCCTCCCCTTCCTGAAACCCAATAAATCGGGTACCCTCCCTCAAGACTATCACCCCATTGCACTAACTAACTGCTTGTGCAAACTACAAGAGCGAATGGTTAACTTCCACTTAATGTGGTATCTTGAATCTCACAATCTTCTCTCTCCTTCCCAATTTGGTTTTTGCCGTGCCTGAAGCACAGCTGACCCCCTTGCTCATTTTGAGACATATATTACATCCGCATTTGCATGCCATGAATCCGTACTAGCAATATTTTTTGATCTAGAAAAATTATGGCGGTACCAACAATTGTCCTCTCTAGGCATACATGGAAACATGGGTGCCTTCATAAAGTCTTTCCTCTCCAATGCACTTTCCAGGTCAAAATTGCCACTGCCACATCATCTTTCTTTCCTCAAATCGAATGTACCACTTTATTCCTTCTTGCTGTTAATGACATTGTCTCAGTTCTACCACCAGGAGCCCGGTCATCACTATATGTTGATGATTTAACCATCCATGCCAATTTCTTCAGTCTGCAATATCACCAGTAGTATCTTCCTGGGCCATAAACCATGGCTTCCACTTTTCTACCTCCAAATCTTTCTCCATCCTTTTCTCTTGCACATGCGTAGGTCCCCAACCTCCACCCTTCTTATATGGCACTCCACTCCAATACCATTCCTCTGGCAAATTCATAGGCGTTATTTTTTTACTCCAAACTGTCCTTGCGAGACCACATCCTTTACATTAGAGAAAAAAGTTGAGGCTGTCTCCAAATCTTACAAACTCTATCCCATGTATCCTGGGGCTCTGATTGCAAAACTCTCCTTCATCTACATGTTTCCTTGATCCTCTCCACTGTCAATTATGGATGCCATATCTACTCCTCTGCCTTAACCTCTCTCCTTGGTCATCTTGATACAATCCATCACTGTGATCTTGGCTTAGCCCTAGGTGCCTTCCACTCCTCTCCAGTTGAGAGCCTGTACACTGAATCAGGCATACCATTTCTCTCTCAACGCTGTACCCTTCTCTCTCTTTCCGAAATTATGCTCGATTCCACCAACTTCCCCTCACTAAACTAACTATCCCACGATCCGTACTTCCTACCTTTGCTGCTTCTCCACATTTACCTACTCCTTTCTCCACTCACATGGATACCCTCCTCTCCCATTCCCCTTTTCCCCATCTCCGACCTCTCCTGTTCTCTGTCCATTCTGTCCCTCCATGGCTTATACCTTACCTCTGTATTTGCTCCTCTGTTTTCCCTGACCCACCAAAATCAAATATTCCTCCTGCAGTTCTTCTCACCCATTTCCTTGACCATGTCTCCAATCTTTCCTCCGGTATTCATGTTTACACTGATGGCTCCAAATCCACCTCCGGTGCTGATTTTGCAATAACTTCCCCAACTCGTACTTTCAAATACCCCCTCCTTCCTGAATCTAGTGTCCTTACTACAGAACTGTATGCACTCCTTTTTGCCTTGAAATATACTCACTTCCCTCTTCCTATTTCACAATTTTTACTGACTCCTGTAACTCATTAACTCTCATAAAGTCAATACACTGAACCAACCCCTTGTTTGTAAGATTCAGAACTGGTTGTTTTACCCATCCTCACGCCATAAAACAATCAAATTTTGCTGGGTGCCCAGCTATGTTGGAATCCCCAGCAATGAACAGGCAGATACACTAGCACGCCACGCTGCTATGTCCACATCATACCAACCACGTTTCTTACGTATCCCAGCCACGGATTATTACCCCCACTTTAAGACCTTGTATAACCGATGGCAATCTTTCTGCTCAAGTCTCCGCACTAATAAATTACATACTGTAAAACTATCAATCTCTTGGTCAGCCCGTACCTCTGCTTTCCCCCACCTATCCTCCCTTCACCGACCTCCCAACCAATCAGACATCCTTACAGAATCTCACACTTTCTGCTTTGACAACCTGTTTCCCTTCTTCAAAGCATATATATCCTTCACTTGATATATCCCCTTTACATTACCCTTCCCGACCTTAATCTATTCACTATTCAATTCCTTTCCCCAACTTTGGCAACTAATCACTAACTCAACCACCCTTCACTACCATTTACTATACTGCTACATGACCTTAGATGTCTTGCACATTTATTTTGCTTTTAACCATTAACCATTTGAGAATATCTGAAATTGATTTAGATTCTTCTTTAGTTATTAGTTTGTTTCCATGAAAGCCAGCTTATAGGAATAATATAATAAGTGTTTGTCTTTTCATTTCTTTTACAACAGATACGAACTCTTGATATCAACAACCCAGGAGACTGTGGGGACAAATTTAGAGCAAATCGTCATTTAGGTTGGGTTTTATTTGCAGGTATAGTTGGAGGAACTTTACTGAAATCTAATAAAGAAAACCCACCGAGTTTAGAGCTGAATCTAATGAGCAATGAATTATAGGGAAATGTGAGCTGTGATTTATTATGTAGAGCCTTTGATTATATATTAGACATCTAGTCAAGAGGTATTATTACTGAAAAGTTGTTGATTTATGCCTAATATTTGTTAATATGTAAATACAATTTTTAAATGTATGAA